AGAGTAGGTCTCTTTCTAACGACTACTGCTCATCAACAAAATTGTTTTTTTGAAAAAAAAATTGGTAGAAAGATAGATAAATATTTTTTCTATCCCGGCAACTAAAAAGTACTTCGAACGGATGCTGGGTAAAGAAGTTATGAGTTTTTTTCTAAAAAGAAAAAAGTTCCTGATCAAATTAGGGGTAGGGACTATAAATATTATTGAAGAAATTTTACCTTTGAATCAAGGCAGAAGAGTTCGTTTGGTTCGAATATCTACTAGTAATACTGGTGTTTGCAAAAGAACTTGGCAAAAATATTTTTTTTCTTAAAACGTTTTTCTAGACTATTATAAGTAACTACAAAAGTCATTTTTTGAGGACTAAAGCTATTGGTCAATACATTCGATATAATAATGAAATAAGTCTTAGAGAAATAAAAAAAATTTGTTGACAATACACCACAAATCAGTATCTACATCAATGATTAGTCATGATCAGGGGTGTCCCGAGCATAGTAAAATTGGGGGGAGGGGAGTAAAAAAATTTTTTCTTCCAGCGTTAGCGCAAAATTTTTTTCGTAGTGGTAAATGTAGTACACAATTAGATAAGACTTTTGATAAAAGACCAAAAAAATTTCAACAAGTCTCTGCAGAGAAAACACGAAAGTTTTTTCAAAATTGGAGGGGGGTCGGGGCACCCCTGGTCGTGATCTTCATGAATATGGTTATAAAAAATGTTTTACCCCAATCTGCTCACATATTAACATCGGATGAAAAAGAACGACGTGTACAATGGGTCAAGAAGCATAAAAATGAAAAGACTGATGAACTCCAACATTTTTCAGATGAAAGAGTCAACAAAGTTGAAATATCTATGATAAATAATTCTGATGTGGCCAAGAAAACGAGATATTTGTATAATATCTTTTTTATAAGTCAATCAAAAGAATATGAAATTATACTGTTGTATAGTATTCGTCGTGAACTATCTACCACGCTATAAAATAATTCGAAGAGCACTTGTATACAAGAAGATATCTGTGGAAGAATGTTTCCAGGCTTTTTTGCAAACACCTGTATTTAGAACTTTTCGTGATTTATATTGGGTTGGTACATAAGTTCTGCACGTTCTTTTTTGCTTCTTAGGGAAATTTGAGACTTTATATCTCTTTCCAATCATGAGATATAAAGTCTGAAATTTGTCTAAAAAGCAAAACAGAACGTGCAGAACTTATGTATGAATCCAATAGATGACTCATTGAGAGAAATTGTTTGATGAGAACCAAAAACGACGTCTGTACAGAACTTTTCATATAGCTCACTTTTGTATTCCATTGAAACTGCCTCAATTTAAAATATAAGAAAGTCTTCTTATACACCAGTTTGTAGAACGAAGCTTGCTCTACAAAATGTCCAATTTACTTCACTTCCGACATATTGTTGCAAACCATCAGAATCTATTGCAGGGTAGTTCCACCGGAGATTTCCCACGTTATACAAAAGCATCAGCAGCCGGGTTGAAACTTTCAGCAATTGACGACCTCAACATTCTAAGACCTTTGGTGAAGAAATCTTACGGAGTTTCAATCGGCATAGGTGTGGGTGTGGATGTGGTTTTTCCGTCAACTATATCCACACCCCCACAGTTAACCTTATGAATCGCTAATTTCTGCAGCATTATAATTTATAGCAGATCTTTTTGTTATGTAAGTATGTAAATCGACTATGCTCTACACGATTTCAAACATGAAAAGCGACTTATAGAGAGTCATGAATAAAGTGCCACATATACGATGGACGCACCTCTAACTATTTCTGCATCGTAGTTTAAGTAGATAGATAGGTTGATAGATCCGCAGAGAGATAGATAGATAGATAGTATGAAATGTTCTTGACGGTCTGGAAAAGTTGAAATAGCTATTCAGTTGACTCATAGTCAGTAATCAGCAGCTGTCCATCGCCGGTACGAACTAACAATTCGCCAGTTTGTTGTTTGGTTATTTCTCCAACCTTTACATCACCAGTGTCGTCTCGTATGAATAGTTGTCGACTTTCCAATTCACTTGAATTATCATATTTGTTCGGATTTACTATTATACTTTTCAATGGTCTTATCATTTTCCCATCATATTTGAATAATGCTGGACGAACAAGATGGTCCATTGTGAGATGACGGTTTCGTTCATTCCATACTGATGTTGCTCGAATAAGACAATTGATTTCTATAGCTGTTTTCGTCCAATCTATAATACGTTCTTCTAATGTAAAGAATGGGGCATACGAATGTTCATCATCATTCTGTATTTCACCTGGATATCCCTTTTGCATCAACTCAAAAACTGTTGCCATATTTTCTCTTAATATCTGCGGAAGTTGAACATAAACTGATGAAAAATCATCAGATGGCCTTAGTGGCCTTGTACCTTGTAAGATAACTCTGCCTGTATCATATTCAGTATTCATATAATGGAATGTGAATCCGAAGAATTTTTCATTATTCAATATTTGCCAACCAATAGGATTCGGACCACGATATTTCGGAAGTAGTGATGGGTGTAGATTAACAAAACCGTACTTCGGTATACTTAATATCGTCTTATTTAATCGGAAAGCAAACCGTTTAACGAGACCGATATCAGGTTGAAGAGCTGTAATTATTGCCGGCAAATTTCCTTTAATCGTATTAATTATCAATGTCGGTATATTTGGATGCAAGTCTTTAATGCGTTCTTCGAAAGCTTTAAGATGATTGCTAGTAACCATGGATGGCAGTCCACGAGTAGTTACATACAGTGCCAACTCATGCCCAAGTTCTTGTATTTTTTCGTAAATAGCATTAACATTTGTACCATGAGTGGTGGAAAAAAATACAATACGCATTTCTTCTTTTTAATCCAATTGTTATAATTCCGTTTCTAATACTATGTCAAGAGAATAAGAAGAGCCTTTGAAAAAGAAGACTATGCTTCAATGCTAAAATAACTTTCATCGGATAAACAAGAAAGTTATTTTTGTATATAGTAAAGCTCAACCAAAAACGATAAGAAAAACAGGAAAAGTATGACTAGATAGCCTACACATAAAGAGAGATTGATATTGAACAAACGCGAATGCCTATCACTACTACACAAACGATGAAATTCCATTTTGCAATAGGAGATAATCGTAATAAATCAATGACTCGGTTAACAGCAGTTTGAAATCTTGATATTGTAAATGTCTTTCTTAAAAGATACTGTATTGTCCACGTTACAATGATATTCGCATCATTTTCAATACTTAACAAATGTCGTTTGAAAAGAAAGAGATGAAGTAGACAAGAAGCATCGTGTACGAGGGTGTGGGTGTGGGTGTGCATCTAAGGTATGTATGTGGGTGTAGGTGAAGGTACACTCATACCCGCCCCACAGACATCCACACCAAAATAATTCTGTCCTCAAAAGGTTAAATAAGCCTTTCTCTGCTGGAAACGTTATATCTTTAAGGCCCCCTCAAAGGAAAAAAGTCATTTTTGATCAGAATGGTCGAAATTAAAATAAATACACAGGAATATAGCCCGTCATTTGATCTTTCACAAATTACGAAAATTTTTACTTGGCACCTCGTTTTTTTTAAAGTTTTTGAAGATTTCTGTCGACTCCTATTCGAAAAATGAGCCATTTTTGAAAAAACCAAAAACTCTTTTTCGTTTTTTCTTCATTTATAGTTTCTTGAGCGCACAAACCAAATTTCTCTATCGATATTCATTCAATGCATTTATTGTTTTTCGTTTGAAAGAGCGCATCAAGACACAGTGCCATAGAGAGCGTTATTTTTTTAATTAAGCTTTTTTTTATTATATGTACAGACACTTAATTAAAAAAAGGACTCTGCAATGTATTGCATTCTGACATGCTCTTTCAAAGAAAAGAACAATTTTTAATACATCACACGAACCTGGAATGAGAACTTTGGCTTGCCAAATGAGCTATTTTTGATCCTTGTTTGGTTAGTATTTCTCTGAAACGTTATGATATCGGACGTGAGGGTGTGATAATTTCACAGATTCACACCAACACTCACCCCCTGGTCTTACTCTGTGTGAGATAAAATATTTTGAAATACATCCCATCTAGTAAGATCATTTTCTCTATTTCATATTCTTCTCACGACAAGTTACGGCGTTTTTATTTCTTTCAGTACTAAAAATGGAAAGAGAAGATAAAGACTGTAGTATCAGAATAACGACTGATTCAACATTTCAATACAAAAGATAAACGAGTATGGTCGCGCATTCTATGAAAAACAGAAAAGAAAGAGTGTTGGTGTCATGTCTTGTCATTTGGGAACGTAGAATCGAAACTTGTTAAATTAAATTTAAATTGCTTTTTAAATTTAATTTATTCAAATTGAAAAAAATGTACGTTGGAAATTTTCATTTTTCAAATTTTCAAGAAAATTAGTGATAACAATTGTGATACAACTTATACTTTCAGTTATATTATTAAACTTGCTGAAATTTGTAGAGTGCACTAAAGTATAGTAGTGCTTTATTCTTTTCTAAAATAAATGTGATTTATAGAGTTCGTCAGACATAATTGTTACTATGAATCTCATGTGCTGTTTTTGATTTGAATACCTTATCTAATTGTGATTATGGAATGGAATCAAACATCGAACACAGACAAATAATTGAGGTACAAAAGCATTTAGATGCAAAACTATAAATAAATTATATTCTGAAGTAGATGATTTTGAAATATGGACATTGCTGAGTGTCTTCTCTTGACAAACACGGTCCAATCTATTTACACTAGATTCATAATAAGTTTTGAATCATCACAACAAACTACGATATAATCTTCTGAAAAGCTTGCCTTGTCTTGAACGAAAATTGTTCTTAGCTCAATTCAAATCGGTGACTTTTGCGTTGTTTTACAAAAAATTGATAAAATTAGCAACTGTAGATTAAACAAAGTTTTCAAATTTTAATTTACTTAAAACTTATTTTGTTTTATGTTCGCAAATGAGAAGTAGCCCGTAAGGTATGTGCTATATAAGGATTGGTACTTTCAAATTTTCAATCATTTTTTGGTAATGCAATTTTGTCTGTTGACAGTATCATACAATTATACTGAAGCACATTATTCCAAGTAGCACAATGAAATTTTTTTTGTAAGAGTAACCTCCGTTGGAAATATGAATAGTGTCTTATAATGCTTTACGCATTGGAAGAGTATCACTTCAGATTGACTCGTTTTCGAAGTTTTTTCATTGACTGATACTTCACTTTTACTAAAGTGTTATTTAAATTGTGGAAAATAAATAACATGAAAATAACAAGAGATGAATGCATTTATTTATTTTTTAATATTTTCTTCTCAAAATGATTCAATTTTAAATTGTACACAAGTTCTCAGCCAATTCCAAATTCCATGGGAAATTACTTTTTCTTTTTAAATAGATATTTAATAATCTATCTCCTCATAGACATTCATGCGAATTTCAAGGCACATAAAAAAAAAATCAGTTTTCTTTAGTATTGCTGACTAGTTTTCAGCATATACATGAAACTATTATTATGAATCAATGGAAGTTTTTTTTTTATTCTTATGAGCAATGTACAAATTGTTATACGAGAGTAACGCATGCAAAAATTTCAGTCAATCTCAAGCTTATTATCGTTATCCTTATAGAAAAATGCCAGATTGAAACTACCTGATGTCTTTAGTTATCAAAGTTTTAAATACATTATACTGATAGTTCAATTTTCGTCTCTTGATTAATTAAATATGATTTAGAGTATTAGAAAAAAAGCAAGTAAACTAATAAATGTGATGCCTAAACGTTATTAATGATTTCAGATTAATTAAAACTATATATAAAAAGTGAGATGAGCAATAGGATAGAAAAATCATGAAAACTACTAACAAATAAATAGTTATCAATCGATCATTGAGACCAATTTCATATCTATCTCCACGATGTCTAATGTGCACACCATAGTGACAGTATGTATGTGTTATTTAACACCCTTGTTTCTACTTTTAATTTTATTCTGATAAGTTACTTACCACAACGAAATCAATAAAATCCAATATATCAATAAAATTTTATCTCGACTTGTTGTTGTCTGCACTTGATAGTGTGTGTGCACCACTGTTTACTTGCTTTTACAAAAGATTCTTTTTCTTCTATGCAATAAGGCAACTTTATATGTTTCTTATTCTTTTTTACCTTGCCTGTTTTTTTTTCTCTTGTCTTCATTTATTTTTGTTGCACATTTTATGACGAACGTATTTACACAAGAAGGACACGTAGCAAATGAAATGATCTGCTTGAATGACTCTTGCATGATGAATCTAACACACGAAATAATATCAAACCATATAACTCAAAAAATATCGAAAAGCAAACGACAGAACAAAGAAAAATTACTTTTTATTTTGCTGCATGTAATACGTTATACTCATGTACAGATATATAAAAAGCCTCCAAGAGAATAATTTTTATAGATTTTTTTCATTCATAGTTTATATCCAGTTGTTGCGATTACACATGTTCGCATGTAAAAAAATAGGAGGAAAATCAGAATAAAATCGATTATAAGGGTGTGGGTGTGGGTGTAAGGGAAAAATATTTACCTCCACGACCACCGACACCCCACAGCCACAGCCACAGCCGTACCCACCCACACCCACACCCCACACCCAGAACGGAGTCTTTGCTGATACTTTTGTTATAAAAGCATGAGCTGAAAAGTATTAGTCATTGAGAGTTTCTGATAGTCGGTCAAAATTAGTCTCGAAAAGTGATCTTGAGGCATCGAGATGAAAAGTCTTTGTTTGATACCCACCTGAACTTCTAATGACTGAGTAACTTTTCGTGAATATAATGAATTCATTCAACACGATCCCGTCCTGATCATACGATCAGAAAGCATGGGCTCAATATTTAGAGCTGAGTCTTTGGTAATGACTAAAAATTTGTGAGCTGAAGACTTTTAGGCTCATATTTCTGGATCTGTAAACCTATGGAAGTCGATAAAGATGAGCAAAATAGACCAGCTTTAGTGTATTAAAAATTGATAAGAAAAGCCGACCGGTGTGAAAAGCTCAATCGGACCGGATCGGTAACCGGCAAACCGATCGGTACGGTACCGATTCCAAGTCTGGTGTTGGTTAGCAAAAAAATGTTTTATTAATGAATGAATCAGTATTGAAAATAGTGTCGCATCTCCGAGAGTTCTTTTATCAACACTACTAGCTTCCGAATCTTTACAAACCCTGACAATTTCAATCAAATCGAATATAGTCATCGGTAAAAACAGTCGATTTAAAGTCACAAACGTTGTCAAATGATACAGATCACAGCATTACTACTTTATGAGGCCAAATAATTTGAGTGATTTATAATGAATTTATTCGTATAAAACGATAAAAAATATTCTCTCTCACAAGAGAGTTTTAGTCTCATCATAAAAATGCAACGAATATTATAATATCTACGAGTAACAGTAATACATATTTTCTTATCTGCACAACGTGCATCTTTATGTCATTTATTTACCAAACCACATAGTCTTGGAATGTGGACTGAATTTATGCAAATACAAAATGTAATTTAACATATTTTCAATTTTTTATAATCATGAAATTTTTATTTTGTCTGATTTAGAATGAAAATGGACATAATAATAATGATAGAAATAACAATGTAGAAACTGTAACATTAAATAAAAAAGGAAATAGTCTTAATTTAAGTATTGTTGCAGCAAAAGTAAGATTACCGAGAAAGCTTTATTTGAATTAATTTTTTCTATGATTGTCAACAGTGAATCTCAACAATTTCAGTGAATTTATATCAAAGCTATTGTACCAGGTGGTGCAGCTGAAGATGATGGACGTCTTAAAGCTGGTGATCAAATACTTTCGGTTGATAAAATTATCATCGAATAGAATTAACCAAAAGATTTTGAGAAACTTTTAATACGTAGTTATCAATTTCTACTCTTTCTATCAAAATAAACAGCCGAACAGATCAATTAATCATATATTTTCAAAAAAAATACAATCAGAAGAAAGAAACGAAAATCTTGTAAATAGACTTCCAATACAGAGAACAAAAAAAACATCTTTTTTTCAGATGATAAATATCGAAATAATAATCATAAAAAAGTTCCACAGATATTCTCCAATAATTTACTATGTACATATTGATTTGTTGTTCTTTATGGAGAACTATCCACTTACAACTGTATTTATGACTATTATTTATTGTTATTAGATTTCTCCTTTTCTATTAATGAGTTTTTTTTGTATCAAGTACATAGACATCTGATAAACATTTCTCAAAAGTTATAGACTTTAAATATAAAGTTATTATTTGACTTAAGATTGGTCAGTTAAAAAGATCTAATGAATCTTGAATTTACTGCGACGGAAACTATTACGCGTAATGATGGTCAAATTAATCAAATTCATTATCAATTTGAAGAATTTACTGTTGAAAATGTGTCTCTTGGTATAACAAATAAACAAGAACGACGTAGTCGAATATACGATACATATATTACACGAGAACAATACAAACAATTAGCTAAACTCATTCCAGATGCATTATCATTCGATAATTTTGTTCTTGTTTTACATCCATTTATAATCGGATATTATCAACATGATGAATTGGCAAGGTTTTTTACCAATTATTAATGAATATGCAACAAATGATACTTTGAAAAATTATATTAGAAAAGTTGATATAAATACTGATGGAAATTTAAATTATGATGAATTTAGGTCCCTTATATTAAAAGGTATTGGACGGGATGTTATATGTAATCATATATAACAAATATTTTCACATTAAAACAGATTAAAACAAATTTATTATTATATCAACAGATTTTTTAATCTGCTTTTATATTTAATTAAAATGAAAAAATTCTTTCATAGAATTTCATATTTTGTTCGAATTAACTTCGAAAGAAATTTCATATACTTGTTTACATCGTACCCATTTTATATCATTATTCTTTTCAGACTTCAGAATAGTTTTGTCATATAAAATATTCCAATTCTGTTTGTTTTAATTATCATCAAAGTAAAAAAAAATACTCAACGTGAGATGATCATTTGAATACGATATTGAAAATTTTCAATTTGAAGTATTTCTGATGTCCTAATCAGCAAGGACTCAAATACTGGTAAATTTCACATCACGTATCAAATCTATTTGATTTTACGTTATGAATAAGCAGCCATGACCGGTTTCGACCTTGCTTAAGGGTCTCATCAGATGGCATTATTCAAATTCATCATCATAAATGACGATGAAACTGCAATCAACCCCTAGAATAGAGAAGATACAGTGTCAAAATGTATGATTACATCATGAATAAGCAGCCATCTGATGAGACCCCTTAAGCAAAGACGAAACCGGTCATGGCTGTTTATTCAACACCATCAAGCGGAAAATGTCATATACTTTTGTCTCTTTTTCTGTTTCAATCATGTTTGCTATAAGTATATCAACATTATTCTTTTATCATTTATATTTAACGTGAAAAAATCGAACAACATTAGGTAATAATTTCATTGGTTTTTCTTCGCTTGATTGTTCTAAAGAGATTTTCATTAGGATCTTTTCGAGCACCAATATTTGCAAGTGGACCTCAAAAAGAAGGTTTTGATTTGGGTTGGAAACGAAATTTTCAAGAAACATTTGGAACGAATATTTTTAAAGCTTAAATACCAATATCAACAACGTAAGTGCACTTTTGGATTTTTATATATTAAATGTTGAATTTTATTGTTCATTTTAATAGACTTGATGATGGTGTTCATTATCAAAGGAATAGTATGTTGCTTGGCGGTTTACAATAGCAAACGGGAAATCCAACTCATTTAAATCGATCAAATAATAACAATAAAGAACGACATCGTAAGGGTGTGGGTATAGAAAACTCGATGACACGCACACCCACACTCCACCCACACCCTCAAAGCAATCATAATCATAGAAATCGAATCACTTTTTTCAATATCATTGTGGCAGCGGCAGCGATGCGAGGGAAGTTTAAAGTATGATGGTAGAAACTTGGACCCTTCTCTCCCCAAAGATCGTGACCGACACCTTAGCAGTATTGCTTCTCCTTGCGAAAGACAACACACATACCCGAGAAATTAAAATTCACCGGAAGATTAGTGTGAAACCCGACTAAATGTAAGTTATGCGTCCGTTGTCCTTCGTTCGTACTGACTGTAGTATATTATGATTAACGTCTTTCGTCATCAGGATAGATTAAGAATAGGTAAGAATTCACAATCGATATATATATTCGTGAATTTCCTCATTGACAATCTACGCAGCTCCATCGTCTTTCCTATTTTAATTCCACAAAAATTTCGCTAACAGTTTTTTATTACCAAGATGGACACCTCCGACATGCAAGTGAATTATGAATTTTTCAATGTCAAGAATGTCTCTTGTAATTTAGCAGGAAACAAAGTCCGGAATTCTAGTTATTGAACATATGTCATGTTGTCACGGATTGTGTGAGACACTGATTGATCAAAATTTGATATAATGTTACTTAGAGACATTTTCATGTTCGAATCTCTGACAAAAAGATGCAAGACAATTTAGTGACATATGCTTAGGACATCAAGAGGCGAAGAGCTTTTGTTTAGAATCCATCCCATGGATTTATACATGTCTGCATAGCTTCCAAGGTTTTTTGAAACTTTCTTTAAATTCTGATACTCATTTTATTTTTCAACGTAACAAATTAGGAAGGGAAATATCTGTCTGATGATACGATTTAAATTTGGTATGTCCTATTAAGAGATTATTAAGACACACGATGCTTACCTGAATATATGCTGCATTTCTATAAGTAACATTTTGTGCACTTCTTTATTAAGTGTAGTTGGAAAGAAATCATATGTGCTGTTGCATCTCTCGATAATAATGGTAAACGACAAAATAGGTTTGATAATATCGATGTGCTTTCTGCACTCAACAAATCTTTTGACTGTCAGAATTTTTGTTAACATAGAATAAAAGATTCTTTCCACCATTTAACATGTGTTCTATGTTGAGTGTTGTTTATGGACGGAAGAAAAAAAAGTATTACCACGTATCATACGAAAGAAAAGAAAAACGTCGTTATTGCACGCTATTCACCGATTGAATAGAAACTGCGCAGGTAAAAGTTGACAAACGCAAGGATGAAATGTATTGCTTTTATATTTCATTGATTCTAGACGTCACATGATCACATTCGATTCAACCATTACTCACATACAACTTCCAATCAGCAGAAAAAGAAAAGAAATATTTTTACTTTTATTTTAACTGTATGTTAACAAAGACGAAATTCTTTATTGACAGATTCAAGCAAAAAATAATCAAGGTTGGTACCATTTTTATCCTTGAATAACATCAATCGAAAAAGTGAAAAGGTCTTTGCGTTGATCAAAGAATATATATGGATAATTCTTTTCAAACAATACGAACTTAAACGAGTGATCAACTACAGAACGAATCTTTCATCATTCTTCTTATTTCGATTATGACAAACGCCTTACCGATGCAGACTTATAGACTCTGACATACGTACTCTACGAGATAAAGTTTATTGTGTATTTAAACTACTTTCAATCCTGAAAGAATTGCTCACAGAGCTTACTTTATTTTTACAGGACCAGATACAGTCGAAAAGAAACTGATATCAGATATAAATGCTGTTTTAGCAATGAGGTGATGTGCCCTGTTTTGGATTATCTTGAAATTTTGAAGATACCGAAACAAAGACATCGGCTGTGACAAAAATTTGTGTTAAATTGGGCTAAATCTCGCATTGTTTGCCACATGACATACAGTATCTTCACTTTTGTTCTTTTAACTGAGCTACAAGGCAAATCATAGAGACGACGTATAAGACACTGAAAATAAACGTGTAAGCCATCGATGGACCTAGTTTCTGTAACCAGTAGAGTCAATACCAATACGAGATTTGAACGAAACGACCAATGCACTGATTGACTATCGTTATTTGCTATTCTTTTCCAGATTTTATTTGAAATGCGTTCGAATTAAAATTATGCAACCAATATGGAAGTGCATCTTTAACTCTCTAATTGATTGTCATGCTAATGAACACTTCCTGTTCATCGGTAAAGGCAGTAGATTGAACTATAAATTTTAGTATTTTTGAGAGATATTCGCAGAAAAAGAGGTCACTTATAGAGAAGAGTCCATGATTGATTGGTGGCCGAAAACGCGGTAAAATTCTCTTTATTGTTCTTGTCGTCCAATGTGCACTGAGACCTTCATTGAAATGAATGAAGTAATTTTCATTTTGCTTCACTGCCTTTACTCATTGACATAAAAAAACAATGTGTAACTAATGTACTTTTATGTTAAAAGATAATATTACCAATAAGAATATAGATATGTAATACCAGTCTTGATTCCATCGATTTCTGGATACAGCACCATAGACACAACTATAGGAAAAACGTTATTCAAACCGGAATTGAAAGTTGCAGTTAAGTGCTCTATGGTTTAAATGAGTTTTCTTGTAAATCGTACTAATGAAAGAAAAGTTCAGGAGAGATGAATAAAACATGATATTTGTGTCTGATCAAATAGAAATCAGACAAAATATTCGAACATTAACTTAAGTAATGATCAGTAAAACCAGCAGAATGAGTTGTTATTAAATCTCTAGATGAGAGAAGTAGTTGTGTCTTTTAAATAATAACAACACGCATAAAATAATGTTTCTTTTTTTGCAGATCATGAATTTCAAATCTGAGATTAACAATGATCGTGAAATATCCAATGAGAAGAGACTTTCAATTGAGAAGATCTCTATTGATATTAATATGAAATCAGTCAAGAACAAGTCGAGAACATCAACAGAAACACTGAACGATTATCCAGATTTATTGACAAGCAACAATAATGAACAACTCGATTTCCCTTTTCTATCATCTTCTTACTACAGGTGTGTTATTCTTCAATAGAAAAATCATTCAGAAGCACTTTCAAACTTGCATCGACTGTTATCGATGTAGACAAAAAAATATCCTCAGATATCTTAAAACGTTATTCTATATAGGATTTCTATGCTAAGTAGTTGTATGAATACAATTAACAGGAAGAAATTCTTTCAAAGGTAATAGAAATAATAGGCTAAACCTTCAAGTGAATATCTCAAATGTATATCTGCAAAAATCATTATCTCTTGTCTATATCTATAACGTTAGAGTATCTGATCTATTATTTTAATCTATATAATAAACAATGTTTCTCAAGATGTTCAGTGGAACCTGATCAATGTTCATTATTCGGTGTTGATTGGAGTGATAAAGCTCATCCAAGATCCCATTGCTGGCTTCCATATTGTTCGATCGATTATTCACCTGTTCCCAGGTGTGCCTACACTTTATGCAAAGTGTCTCATCCGTTTCGTGCTGCCACATTGATTCAATGTGGTTCATGCAGAATATCGATCCACAGAGAACACATCGATGATTTGCAGAAAATGAGCGATACTCATAATTATCTTCCATTTTGTCGTCCCTCGTTTTCTGATAATATTATATCAGATGATCATGGAAAATATGACCATCATTACTGGTCGCCCATTCCATCACTTACGAAATCATGTATGATGTGCAAACGAAAAAGTTTGTCACGAAGGTTAACTATTCGAAGAGAATCGCACATCTCAGAAGATAATGCAGCACACATCCAGATAAGACAAGACTTAAAACCAAAATTTGCTAAATCTTGCCGTGGTCTGATATGTCTATGGTGTTCAGAAGAGTGTCATCGACAATGCTGGCAAAGTGTCAACGACAATAATGATGATAACAAATGTGATTATGGAAAGTATAAGTGAGTTCGTTTGTGAGATATTACTAAATTTTTCAATTGTATTTATTTTTAAAGGAATATCATTGTTCGTCCACAGTGGTTACATCGCGTAGCAAACTCTCCCGTAGGTTTTCAAGCACGATTTCCAGATAACATCGATCCGAGCAACTCATCGTTAACCCCTTTAATTGTCTTTATAAACAAACTTTCAGGTGGTCAAAAAGGGGAGATTATCTATAATAAACTTATACGTTTATTAAATCCACGTCAAGTTTTTCTTCTCGAAAACGATGCAAGTGTAATGCAAGCTTTGGATATATATTCATCTCTTCGTAATACTCGTATTTTGCTTTGTGGTGGCGATGGAACAGTCGGATGGATACTGAGCACTTTAGCAAAACGATTTTCATCACTTGATAATCCTCCAGTAGGTATTTGTCCTATGGGTACAGGGAACGATTTATCACGTGTATTGGGCTGGGGTTGGTCTTACAATATGAAACGACTACTGACCACACTCTTACATATTTCTAATGCTAAACCTATTGCACTCGATCGTTGGCAAGTTGATTTTGAACCATTAACAAGAATTGATCCTATCGAAGAGACTGGAAGTATTCGTCGATGCTTATCACATATTCTGGATCATCCAAAGTTCGTTCGTGAAATTGATCGACCATCTTATCAAAATTATCAAAAGCCTCTTAATGTTCGATTTACTAATTATATTAGTTTTGGATTAGACGCAGCTGTTGTGTTGGATTTTCATGATAAACGAATGCGTGATCCATCGAAATTTACATCACCAATGAAAAATAAACTTATTTATCTCAATATTAGTAGACAATATTTTAGAGAATTTGCTTTATGGAGAGCATGGAATTTAAGATCATATATGAGAATTATTTGTGATGGTGAAGATATGACAAATTCATTACGTCATTGTCATACTGTTGTTCTGTTAAATATTCCAAGTTATGGATCGGGTACTCATCCTTGGAGTAGAACATACCAAAATAGTATATCGCTATCAAACAATATTCCAAATCAAACCGAGAAATTCAATCAGATCAATTCGAATAGATTTCAAGATATAGATCCACCAGATTACAGCTATGACCAATGTAAATCTGCGAGAGAAGATATATCCAATACCGTTGAATCCTCTAGAGCGTCTGTTACTAACGATCAGATTGGAAGACAGAGTATTGATGATCGCAAAATTGAAGTTGTTGGATTAGACTCGATACAGATGGCTTTGATTCATATTGGTTTTCGAGGTCGTCGCATTGCTCAATGCAGTCAAGTACGACTTGAACTCATTCGCTCAATGCCTGTACATATGGACGGTGATCCATTCTATCTTCCTCAATTTACCGCCATCAATGTTACTCACGCAGGACAAGTTTTAGTTTTGACAAACGACAATAAATAGATAAACATATCCCCTTTCAGCAACCTGAGATTTTTTATATCGATCCTATCTTTTCTTATATAGCCATTCACCATTTCGATTTATTTAAGAAAATAAAATAGCCAAAGAAAAAAATTCGAAACATCATAAAGATGCAACATCAGATTGTTTTCAACGTACGATCCATTTAAAAGATAATAATTCGAACTATTAAGTATACATCTTATAACTGTAAGACAAAAGTAGCTACTAACCTGCGATTATTTTCTATCTGAATGAAGGGAACATAAAAAAACATCGGTTCATAACCAATTTCTCTTGATGGCTAGTTTTTGTGCGAATTTGAAAAATGATTTAAAAGAGATTTTTATTTGCAATTAATTCTTCAACAAAAAAAGTTCTTTCGATACACATTAACTATCGATTATCTAAAATGTCACAAATTTATCCTTGTGCCCTTTTCATCATTATATACAGATCATTATTCTCGGAAAGAAACATGAGAAATTCAAATAATGAAATTTTATTTTCATGCTTTTTATTGAAACAAATAACATATAGGATAACTAGGACATCTACTTGTTTCTGAAATAAAAATTAGTAGAACTATCAGTAGAAAATGTTCAATTTATAATGTTAGTGTACGTTATATGAGACTTGAAGATTATCCTATGCTCATTTTCGTCAACTTGTTAGAGTTTCATTCGACGTTCATTCAATTTAGATATTAGGGTGTGGGTGTGGGTGTGGGTGGGATGTGGATGGGGTGTGGGTGTACATTTCACTAGATCCGCACACCCACACCCTAGATAATACTATAAGAATACGTAGAATTCACAACTTCAGGAAGAATACAGTGAGTTAACTCAACGTACGAAGACTACACTATCAATCAAAGCTTCAGCATTCTAAGGCTAGTATTGTTATTTACTACTATTCTCATATAAATAACTATTTCATAACGATTCAAAACAGTCTTTCGAAGGAAAGTTTGAATATCCGATCCAATATCAGAGTCGAAAGTCCTCTCAATAAAAAGCAATCCGGCTCTGGAAATCAAAGCACTCATTTAGACAGCTAATCAAAACTAATATCCAAATCATGACATGAACTATCGCTTAAAAAAACAACTCATATTTACTTTAAACCCTTTATCAAGAGATTCATCCTGACTGACGACAAGATTACATTTTACATGCAACACGATCCCATGGTGTTCTATTTAACAAAACTATTTTTTTACTTGTAACACCTCATAAACTTGTTTTTTTCTCAAAATTTGACCTCAAATCCCCTGTTCCACTAGTGATTTCTAAGACAGACAACCAATTCCTTATGAATAACTTCGAATGTGATACGCTTCGATACTGCTCATTACCTTGTAAAATTGTTAACCATTCTCTAAGTTGGTACATGCCTTCGAAAACCCTTGTGGTCGTCAAACGAGTTCAAATAGCCTGTTCTATGAATTATTCATCAGCAACGGGGCTCTCGTGATGATTAACCAAATTCATTTTGACATCTAACACAACATCTAACAGAATGTTATCTCACAACACTGTTACGATGGTCATTTAGTCTGCACACTGCCTCTTCGATGTTAACAGTCTCCTAAAGAGTATCTTTTTTAAACTCTTCTTCTTTTGCTTAATAAAAGGTTTTCAAAAAAAAATGCCTTTCACAGTATATTCTCTGACCATCCCAGATGACTGTGCTACTTCCTAGTCTCAGTCAGCAGTGGATATCCTCCTTCCAAAGCAGCACTTGCCTTCAATTTCACAAACGCCATAAAACTTGTGCACAACTCATGGTTCAATATATTCCGACCGTAAAAAGAGCTTCTACTCCACTTACTTCAATTACTTAATAAATACAAACGATCCTACCTCATATTACTACTCTTTTCTCTATCCAGCTATCTAAATATGTGATATGTGCCTACGGTAGCTCCTCAAAATGAAAGCCATATATTTATTACTTTTCTGTACAGTTTAGTCAGTATTTGCAAATTGCATAGAAAAGGTAAATATCTGATATTTGGTACCTTGTCAAAATTCTGAATGTCGCCAAGTGTAAATATCTGGTTGCCAGATGAAAGACCAGATATCAGAGATCAGATCTTTAATGAAAACTGGTTGCAATTTGAGATTTGCCATGGTCTCAGTTTACGATGTTGAAATGTTCATATAGAAATATATCACGTAGATCTTCTTCTTTAAATTTTTTTTCTCTTTCTTTCTCTCTAACGATATTTCTTTTCTTCTCTTAAAAGTGCTAATATGTCGAATAGGAGTTGCGATAAACGCATTTAATGTAATTTATTTTTTCTATTATAATTGTTAATTGGTAAGGTAACCCTAATGAGATCAATAAAATTGTTCCGTCAAAAAAAAACATAAATACTTGATCTCGTATCTCTCCCCCAATCCATTTGTATTATCCCTAGCATTATTCCTTTCTTCTGTTCCTCTCTTCTCCATTTGAGTATGTAGGTTTATTTATAGAAGAGAACTTTTTCAGTTTGAAAAATAAATAGCGTCGAAAAAAGAGAACAATAATATATATGAGGTTTCTATTAGAACTAATTAATGTTTTGAGTCTTTCAATTCGCAATGTTGTATTTTCTTTTGTTCTTTCATGCATTGGTGAAACGATGAGGTAGATTGTAAGTTGATAGCTGATGTTTTCTGGTTGTTGTCAGTGGTATTTCATTGGTTCCATCATTCGTTCCAGTTCGAGTGATAGCGATGACGCGATTTTGTTTCCAACGACAACATGAATTGAAGCTTATAAGAATACCCATCAATTCCTTTCGAAATGTACCTGATACCAATGTGTTTGAATAGAATGATGACGCTGGAAATACATAAACAAACAATTCAGTGATTACTTGTAAAAAACCTTCAATAGCTTTACGGTCGACAGATTTATTTGATATGTCGCGAGTCAACGATGTATATATAGTGTTCGACATAAACGGGATTGCAGAAACAATAAAAATAGCCACTTGTGCCAATAGTATGATTAATACTTGTTGATCACGAGTACCTTTCCATCTTTCCGATCTAGCCATGTTAATCATTGCTCTACGTTGATTTTTCATTTTGAGACTTCTCCAAATGAATAACGTAGATATGAGCATAACTAAAGGTGGTAATGTACCACCCATGATAATTGTGTAAATACCATGATAAATAGCCACACTGTTATTTGACATTATGCAACCAACATTGCCTGGTGGTACAATATTGGCATATATCAGTGCATGGATAGGCAAGATCATCCAGACAATGAAAATCAAGATTGTTATTCGTCGACTCTTGTTAACTGTGAAAAAATGTCGGATATTAGCATTTGCTGAACACGCAACACAACGATCGACACATGCCACAACTAGTAACCATCGACATGACATAGCACTCCATTGATTGACATAGGCACGAGTCTTACAGAAAGCATTTATGGAGAAGAATGGATTCGAAGAATTGAATTGAGCATAAATTAAAGGTTTGATACCAATTGAAAGCAGGACGAGTGCAGCAAATGATGATGCAAGAAAGTCTACGAATAAACACTACTTAGGGCATACTAAAAGTAGGGGCAGTGACACTTTAATATCGTATAGTAGACTTAAAGAAACTTTCTTTCTGTACAGTCTGATACAGAAAAAATGTTCTATCTTTCTATGCTATTTGATCGTACTTCAACTAATATCACAATGATAAAATTTCGATAAGATCTGTTTTGTTCGCATGTGTTGCAGTTCCACGAATACTAGTGAGTATTTTTTGAATAACTTTTGATAGAAACAAAATAGAGAACTGTGGTTTTCACCGTTGAGAGGAAGAGATGAAGATGCACCGAATCGTGTATTACAGGTTGTTGTAATTTTGATTTCGGAAGTATTTTGATTTAGTTCCCTAACCGTCTGAAAAATGTTTTTTTTTAATGAAAAAAAGGGAAAAAGCACAGAAGGAAGCTTTTTTTCAGACTTTCCTAGAAAATTGTATTAGAGCCTCGAGTAGAATACATAGTATTAATATTGGTATTCCGCACGTTGTACATCTTCGATTAGTGGTTTGAATTAGTACTTGATAATTGAAAAGTCACTGGAAACAACTTACCAGATAAGTTTGTTCTTGAAAAGGGCAATTGTAAGTCTTACAAAAAACCGATCAGGAAATCGCGGAATACACGATTCGATGCATCTTCATCTCCTCTTTTCAACAATGAAAACCACAGTTCTCTAACTTGTTTTTATGAAAAGTTATTCAAAATATACTCACTCGTATTTTGTTAAAATAAGTATTAAATCAACCAGCTCATATGACAACGAAATAGATTTTATCGAAATTTTATTATTATGATATTAGCTGAAGTGCGATCAAATAGCGTAGAAACATAGAGTTTTTTTTCTTTATCAGACTATATAGAAAGAAAGTTTCTTTAAGTCTACCATACTGTATTAAAGTGCCACTGCCCCTACTTTTGGCATGCCCGAAGTATTTATGTCACTAATCTTCGGAATTACTTGTAATGAAGAAAAAATATGCTTGTTTCTTTGTTTTGGAACTGAAAGAGTTAAAAGAAATTGCTTAGGAAATGTTTTACATCTTTACCCAAATTAGATTACTGTCCGATTTCAGATTACTTACAAGTACAACAAGAATTTGATCTTAAATTTCTTCGAGAGAAAAGTACTATATTCATCACAGAGCCAATAGTACCCAGCACAAAGACACCTGTTTCAACGTATTTAATAACAATGCGTTGAGCGAAAGCGAGCGACATAGCCAACAACGATGCCATATACGATCAAATTCTTATTAAGCGAATGAAAAAGCCGGCTTTGTAAGAATAACTTCTAGATTAAAAATGAAAATCTTCCTGACAGCAGCAACAAAGAGTATCTCTTGCGAGGTTCTGTTATTTTTTTCTCTCACCTGTTTTTACCTGTGTCAGTTGTTAACGTCAATGAAACGAACGCAAGTAATTTATGTAATTAATGAGAAAGCTCCGGT